AGAAATAACCAAGGGCAAAAATGTCATTTCATATCTAAAATAGGCAAGAGGGGGTGTCTGTGCACCATTTAAAAACCACAGGGGTTTTACAAATAACTTTTGAAAGTATGGGGAGTTTTGACGCTCCTTTTGTAAACCACAGGGGGCACCGATGCTATTACCCCGTGGATCTTCATTTAAAATGTACTCGTGGTAGTATATAAACATTTGCTTACTATTCAAATGAAAATTTTACAATTTTTATTTTAAATTAAATAAGTTAAAAAAAATTTGGTGAAAAATTCCATGTAGACTCTATAACCTTATGTTGATTTTTATTGAATCTAAAAACATTTTCTGCTTTGACTTTTTATCAAATACTGACACTTTTTTATTATAAATTGCGAGAAAATATCTTTCATTATACTACCTCCGTCCCAGAGTATTTATCCACTTTCATTTTTACACACCATCCAATACACTTCTTTAAACCATTTTATCTTGTAATTTGTATATTAAAAAATTATAGAAATTATACATTAATAATCTATATGTTAAGACAAATCAAACAAGATCACACATGACTATATTTAGGCTTACACATTGAGAGAATTTGATGAGTCAAAGTGCTTAGATGAACAGTTCCAAAAGTCAAAACTGGACGAATACTCTGAGACGGAGGGAGTAATATATAATCAATATAGATAATGCTAGAGTCACAAACATACAGCTCACAAAATTCACAAACTTGCCTATTTAACATTTTTCTAGAAATAAGATGCACCCAAATAATATAAGATATTTTAAATTAAAATCAACAAAAGGAAAGTTTGTGAAGTTTGTAAACTATTTGTTTGTGACTTTAGCATTTTCCTTCAATATAATTAGATTCATCTTAGAATATAGTTTTGATATATTAATTTTTTTTCATTTATTTAGTTATATTATGTTTAGTTTGTGGTCAAAGACTCTCACGGTTTGACTAAAAAAAATCAAAACAAAAGATTGTTGGGGATAGACGAGAAGTATAACGCGGATAAATCGAGAGTCGTGTCGAACTCTTTCAGATTGGATATTTTGGTAGTTCAATCCAAAATTCAATCTGATAAAACTCAACGTTATCAAGAACTAGTATGGATTTGTTGTGCTTGGTTTTCTAGTGAGATCGTGGTTCCTTTGCCTATGCAATGGCCAAAATGTAGTCGCAAAACAATGGGATATGTTCATTAATACTTGTAACCACTCCAAGTTCAGTGATGAACTTCTGGATCCAAACAGCCTCCTTAGCTGCCTCGGCGGCACCTATGTACTCAACCTCTATAGTCGAATAGGAGGTTGTGTCTTCCTTGAAACTCTTCCAACTAAAAGCTCCGCCATTCAATTCAGGCAAAACAAATATCCTGCTTCTCATTTTGAGTCATCTTTGTTGGTTTGGAAGCTAGCATTAGTGTAACCGACCACCTTTAGCTCTTCCTCACCACTGTATACTAGGAATGCATCCTTAGCATTGCGAAGATACTTGAGGATGTTCTGTATCGGTGTCTAGTGTACTTCTCCTAGACTTCCCTGGTATCTTCTGGTCACACTTAAAGCGAATGAGACATGAGGTCTAGTACATATCATGGCGTACATGATGGATCCAATCGCAGAGGCGTATGGAACTTTCGTCATGAGTTCCTTCTGCTCGGGAGTATAAGGACTCTGGTTCTTAGAATTGAAAGAGCTGTGTCAGGTGTCATAGAAAAAGATCTTTTCTTTGAGTTATACATGCTAAATCGATCACGGATCTTACCTATATATGTACTTTGACTCAGACCTATTAACTTTCTTGATCTATCTCGGTAGATTCTTATGCCAAGGAGATAACGCCTAACTAGCATCCCCTAAGTCTTTCATGGAGAAGTTCACGCTCAACCACGTCTTTACAGAAGTGAGAGCGGGAACATCGTTACCCATGAACAATATGTCATCGACATATAAGACTAGGAATACTATTACACTCCCAATGACCTTCTTGTGTACACAAGATTCCTTAGAGTTCTTCTCAAAACCAAATCTAGTAATGGTTTCGTTGAAGCGTATGTACCAACTTCGAGATGCTTGTTTCAACCCGTAGATTGAACGTTGCAGCTTACAAACTTTTCCAGACTGACCATCAATTTGAAAACCGTCAGGCTGTGTCATGTAGACATCCTCTTTGAGGTTCCCGTTAAGGAAAGCAGTCTTGACATCAATCTGCCAAATCTCGTAATCGTAATAGGCTGCAATTGTAAGCATTATCCGAATGGATTTCAGCATAACAACTGAAGAAAAGGTTTCATAGTAGTGAATTCCGTGGATTTTTTTATAACCTTTTTCTACCAATCGAGCTTTAAAGGTATGAACCTTCCCGTCTACATCTGTCTTCTTTTTGAAGATCCACTTAAATCCAATGGATTTTACCCCTTCGGGCGCATCAACCAAGGTCAAGACTTGGTTTGTGTACATAGACTCCATTTCAAAATTCATGGCTTTGAGCCATAGATTGGATTCAGGGCCTGTAATTGCCTCAAGGTAGGTCTCTGGTTCGTCTTGATCTACCAACAAGACGTCACCTTCATCAGACATGAGAAATTTATATTTAACTGGAGGATTACGTATCCGGTGTGACCTACGTGGTTTAATTGCTTAATCTCTTTGCTCAGGTTCCAACACTATCGGGAATTCTTCTTGTGGTTCTCAAATTTCTTCGATGTCTACCTTTCATTATTGCTCTCTTTTATTTTGTTCTAGAAGACTTTCATAAACCTGTCCAAGCCTTCGCCTAGTTAGAGAAATTAGCTAATTTCATGATCGTATCACTTTTGCTTTCCTATTATGTAACTTTGGCATTAATATCACTTGATCTTTATCAAGCGTGCTTATAAATGTTACTAAAGGATCAATCCCACAGGGATAGATTACTATTTTTCAACCCAAGTTACTGTAAAATACTTCTTACTTTAAAGATGAAACAACTCACTCACACGGGGGGGTTTGGTTATGAAATTGACTTACTTGAAGACTATAAATTTGAAGAACTAACTAGAAATATTTTTTTTATTTCTTTAAAAGAAGTAAAATACCAAATAACCAATAAAATAAAGTAGAAAAGGAGATCTTTTTTCTTAAAGAATATGGAAGGTGTCTTGGTTTAGTTCTGAATTTTCAATGATTGTTTTGCAAAATCATTAACTCGAATGCGTCTTTAATCACTTGTGGACTAGACTGTAGAAGGTTATCCACCTGCGGTTCATCCCTACTTTTTCTTTCCGTTTAGACTAGATTAAGAGCTGCCCTAATCTAAATCCCTATCAAAAACAACTGTATAGGACCTCAGGCGCTACCAACTCTTCTAAAACCAATTGGTGTTAGAAGAGGCGCATACCGTAGCCTTATAGTGCATTCAACACACAAGCGCCCACGACATTCGACTATGACTTGGCCCACATAGCCTCCGCCATGGGACAATTGCTGCACACATGGCCAACAATCTCCCCCTCAGCAATTGCTCCCGCTGGGAATCGAACTCGTGACCTTTGCTCTGATACCACTTGTAGGACCTCAAGCGCTACCAACTCTTCTAAAACCAATTGGTGTTAGAAGAGGCGCATACCCTAGCATTATAGTGCATTCAACATAGAAGTGCCCACGATATTCGACTATGACTTAGCCCACATAGCCTCCGCCACGAGACAATTGCTGCACAAATAGCCAACAACAACAACCCCTACACATTCCGTTTAGACTAATTGAAAATTCTAAATAATCACATTCAAGTAAAACTTGAACTCAATCAAATAGTTGACACTAGATTCATAAGACATGAGCTTTTGCGTAATCTAGGTTTATAAATTGTCAATTTTGGGATAAAATTAAACAAATAAGCTGCGCAATCTTACTCAAATAATCTACCCCAAATATTAAATTAAATCCATTTTCAATCACCATAAGTAATTAAAAATCAATTTAAGCACAAAAAAGTTTCATTTGTTTAGCAAATCATCATTAATCCATTATTAAACCAAGACACATGAATTAACTCAAGCATGATGTAGAATTGAACCACTCATATCTTAACAAAAGTAGAATTTCGACATTGAAGCACCTCAAATATAATTCACGCTCGAAATAAAATGGGAATTCAAAGTAATAACTTCTCTTCAATTCCATGCACTAAAATCAACTCAATTATAAGAGAACATTAAAATGATATTTGACAAACTTAATTATCATATAATTAAAATGTCTAAATATCAAATATATATTCTTGTGCCTCAATAATAATAATACAAATAATAAACTACTTATTATTTATGCATATATATATATATATATATATATATATATATATATATATATATTATTTTACGGATCTCTTAGAAGCAGGGGGCCCGAGGCCCGTTAACCTCGTGTCCATCCCGGGGCCCGTTAACCGCCGGGGTAGGAAGCCCACTATAGAGCCACTCCTGATAGCCTTCCCAGGGGGTCACCCATCCTCTCACTACTCCAGCAGCAGCACGCTTAACTTTTCTAAAATTCCCCCAAAGTCGCCCTCTCTAGGGATCAAACTCGGGTCGTAAGGATCCCCGTTTAAGGTTTAGACCATCTCACCAGGGGGGATCCCTTATATATATATATATATATATATATATATATATATAAGATTTTATTCAAAAAGTAATCAAAGTACAGAAGGTGGTGTTGGTCAACACCAACAAAAGGCCAAAGCAAAGAAAATGAATACAAAGCTAAGAAACAACCAAATGGGTTGAAACAAAAGGAGAGGGACACAGCTCAAAAGACAACCCCAAAACGTCTTCTTCTTCTTGACCCAAACTACCTAGCATGATCTAAAAGTGAGTAGGGCCTAACCCACTGTCGTCCTAGTAGCCTTCAGGTGACAGCCTCGGAACCCATACCTCCATGTTTGAATTGGAGGATAAAGTGAAACCTTGCCTAGTCCAGCCAATTTGACCCTTCTCTTGAATTTTTCTTCAACCATTAATCCCTGCAATCCTGTGCAAACCCTAAGCAAGCCCATGCCAATAAATGGCAGTTCCCAAATGTTAAAAACATCCATGTAACCATTTAGAAGCCTCTAAAACCTGCAAACAAAATCCTACTGCATTCCCGCAGAATACAAGCTACCGTAGAGCTAAAAATAAACCAAAGGCCAAAGGCCTCATCATAAAAGAGACTAGACTAATATGAGAGTAAAAAAAACCATTCGAGATCAATCGGATTCATTCTTTTCTTGCCCTCCTGCCATTTTCTTCTTAAGCTTCTTTTTAGATTTTTTCTTTTGGCTCTTGGTTAAAGGCTTATTTGTGGACTGTTTCTTGGTTGCTTTTTCTGGTTTGTTTGGACAACATTCCTTGAAAAAATTCCTAATGTCTTCTGCAAAGTTAGACTCTGAACCATCTGACCTTTCCTCCCATCCAATTGGGGTTTTCTTTCTTCCTTCTTCCAGAATCTTTGCTTTACTTCGAGTTACTATTTGAGAAGGAGAGTAGATGTGCCTACCCTTGAATTCTCTCCCCAATTCGAAAGGTGTTTTGAACATCCTTGAGTAATCTATTTGAAGAGGTTTGAGAATGTTGTCATTGAAGACCTTGTCTTCTCCTTCTGAATGCGTATATAGAATAGGTCCCTCTCTTTCTTCCCAGATGTCTTCTAGTGCATTGTTACTAAGAGCCATGTTCCCATCATCAATCTTGACAAACTCATCAACCATGAGTGGTCTGCCATCTTCCAGCTCATTAACCTGATCAAATAGAGCTGCATAAGAGTTGGGCTTTAGTGGGATGAACTCAGTAGCAAATGGGGATAGACACATTCTTGGGAGCTGGGGGTATTGAGTATCGTAAGATGAAGGAGACTCTGCCAGACTGTTCTCCTTTTGCTTATGCAGGTCCAGTACAGAAGTTTCTGCCGAGCCATAAGACTATTCCGTAGAGTTTCCATGTTGTAGTTCCTGCCCTTCCAAAGGTTGTATTCTTATGTCAAGACTGAGAAGCTGTTCTTCATACTCTTGGGCTGATTCTACCACCTCCTGTGATAGATCCTCTTTGGATTGGAAGTCAGAAAGTGGATCCCCTACCCCTTTGTTGTTTAGGTTAGAGCTTAACTTAAGTTCCTTCAAATCTGTAGAAGCAAGTGTACGAATCTTATCACCAGAGTGCACCGGACCAGTCTCCGTCTCTCCCAAGACAGCAACCTCAAATGCTAAATCCCCTGAATCTCCTACTGCTTCCCCAAACTCCCCAAACCCCTTAGGCAGACGTACACTACCCAAACTCTTATCACCAGACACATATATACATATATATGTATGTATGTATGTATATATATATATATATATATATACATATATATATACATATATATATATATACATATATACATACATACATACACACACACACACACACACACACACACTTCGGGTGGAGGGGCAAAGGTGAATGTTGTAGAACATCCTTCGGGCTCCTCACATGGTGGGAAGGAGAAAATAAAAGAAAATGGGTCCTAAGGGTGGCATTTTCAAATTTGCAGGGAAGTTCTACAAACGTGTCATTACTGGCATCGCTTATTTGACTGTAGGAAAAACAAGCTGTAGAAAAATAAAAAGAAGACAACTGAGACCATGTGCGCAGAGCTCGACAACTTGGACCTAGGTGTAGTTGTCAATGAGGTGAATCTCTTCGGGTCAAACCCAAAAAAGTTGTTTGTGGGCTCAGGAGCCACACACCATATTTGCTCCAACCAGAGCATGTTCCATAAATTTAAAGAGACCTCCGGTGACAAGGTCTGGATGGCTAACGCATGACCCAATCAGAGGTCAAAAAGACTAGTAAGATCAAGCTCAAATGACTTTCGGCAAAGAGCTAAAGCTTAATGACGTGCTCTATGTGCCAGATATTCGCAAAAATCTTGTGTCGGAGTCATTCTTGATCAAACATGGCTTCCGACTTGTGTGATTTTTGAATAACACCTTCAAGAGGTGGTAAAAAGTACTTTATCACCTTTGTCGATGATAGCACGATATATTGCTATATCTATTTGCTGAAAAGTAAAGAGGAAGTGTTGGATACTTTCATTCGATATAAGAACGAAGTGGAAAATCAACTCAATCGCAAGATCAAAGCATTGAGAAGTGATGGAGGTGGAGAGTATGATGCTCCACTCAATGAGTTTTGTGCACAACACGGAATAGTGCATCAAGTAACCCCACCCTACACATCGCAGTCTAACAGTGTAGTGGAGCGCCAAAATCGCACTCTGAAAGACATGATGAATGCAATGCTACCCAGTTTTGGTTTACCCCAGAACATGAAGGGAGAGGCTGTTTTATCAAGTAATTATTTACTAAATAAAATACCTCGTAAGAAACTTCACAAAACTCCATATGAACTTTCGCATAACAGGAAACCTTCCTATAAGTATCTCAAAGTGTGGGGGTGTCTCGCAAAAGTACTTACACAACCACCAAACAATATGAAGATCGGTCCAAAGGTAGTTGATGGAATATTCATTGGGTACAATAATACATCGTACCGGTTCTTGGTGTACAAATCAGATAATCCTAAAATTCACAAGAACACAATTATGGAGTCACGGAATGCAATGTTCTTTGAGCACATTTTTCCTTGCAAGTCAAACGACGAAACTAGTTCGTCCAAACGTTCTTATATCGAGATGATGGATAACAATTATCCAAATAAGTTGAATTCCGGTGATGACAATGAAATTGAACCTGAAACTGAGTTGAAGCCAAGTGAGAGAATGCAAACTGAAAAGACATTCGGTTCTGACTTCATAACCTACTTGATGGAGCTTGATAGTGGAAATCTATCCTTTCTAATGGAGAATGAACCCGATTTCTAACGTGTCTGTTAGAAAAGGAACCACTGACTTATGATAATCGTAGTTTTTGGGTAGTAAACCTTCCTAGTAATGGCTTAGTTTTCTCTCAGAGTATCGTGTATCTCGAGGAGTGGACGAAGGGAATTGGCTAAATTCTTTAACTAGGCAAAGGTTAGGATAGGTTTATGAAAGTCTTCTTGAAAATAAACAAAATAGAGAAATAATGAAAGTAAATTTATCTACATAGTATAAGCAAGGTCTGGACCTAGGTCAGGACATCATTTGGGTCTACTATATCATATTTAATTAACAGTTGGAACGATCCTATTTCTACTATTACGCACTAGGATTCGTAATTACCCTGTTTGTCTTGAATACTTCAGCCTTACGGCGTACAATATTTTTTCAATAAATAGTTAGTTAAATATTCTAATAATAATTAACTAAATTAGGCAAGAACAATTTCAGAATAATCATTCCAATATTAACTAAACATTCAAAGTATATAACCAAACTAGTCCGGACCCAATGGGTCCGGACCCTAACTCATACTATGCAAAATAATTAAAATCACATTATATTAAATTAAGAAAACTTACAATTTCTGTATAAGTGGAAAAAAACAGATCTTGAGTCGAAATCCTCCGAAAAATATTTCAAAACTACTAATACACTAATCTAAAAGCTAAAATGGAGAGGAGAAGTTTGAATCCCGAAGTTGGGATTAAATTTGATGGTGGAATGGGAAAAATCACGCTGTTTATATAGGGACGGATCCAAGGCGTCCAACTCTAAGCGCCCAAGTCCAAGCGTCTAGATATGGACACCACAGCTGTTCCGACCAATCAGCTTTTGCCACGTGTCATTTTCGGGTTGCAATTCAACTAAAGCGTCCAACTTGGCCAAGCGTCCGAGTTGGACGCCTCAGGCCCTTCTCTTGTTGGGCTTTGCAGCTGGTTCATGATTTTGGCCCAATTTCACTTCTTTTTCGCCTCGAATACTATTTTTTACCTCTCGGAAGCTCGTTCATGCCCGAATCTTGATCCTTTTATGACTGCTTCCATCTTTCTCAAGTATTTGAATATAAAATGGATGATTTATGATGATTTCATGTGGAATCCCTTTTTATGACTCTTAGAACGAAAATGAGAGTTTATGTCATTAAAAACACATTTCATGAGATGATTAAATGCTATTTACCTCGGAGTTGGTTGATCTCCCTCCAGGCTGCAAGCCATTGGGTTCTAAGAGGGTCTTTTGGAGAAAAATAAAACCTGATGGTTCCATTGACAAGTATTAGGCTACACTTGTGATCAAACGTTATAGTCAATGTGAAGGATATGACTATTTCAACACTTATGCTCCGGTGACTCGAATTGACTCTATTAGAATGATTCGCAATTGCATCCTTGCATAATTTGGATATTCATCAAATGGATGTAAAGAAAGCCTTTCTCAATAGTGAATTAGATGAAGAAGTCTATATGGAATACCTGAGGGGTTTAAGGTTCCAGGCCAAGAAAAGAAAGTTTGCTAGCTCGTGAAATCATTATACATCTCAAATAAGCGCCATAACAATGGCATGACAAGTTTGACCAGGTAATGATGAGTAATTGTTTTAAAATCAATGAGTCACACAAGTGCGTTTACTTCAAGAACACAACGGAAGGATATGTGATTCTATGTCTAAACGTAGATGACATACTTATCATTGGAAGTAACGACAAGATGGTCAAGTCCACCAAGGTCATGTTAAATGCAGGTTTTGAAATGAAAGATTTAGGTCTGACTGACGTGATTCTTGGAATCAAAATAATAAGAAGACTAGATCGTCTAAGGGAATAGTAATTCTCAAATAGAATATGTGAGAGCTTTTGGAAGCCTGATGTATCTCATGAGCTGCATCCGACTAGATTTAGCTTGCGCTATTAGCAAACTAAGTAGGTATACTAGTAATCCAAGCATTGAGAACTGGAAGGCTAGAGTCCGAGTGATGAGATACCTTTGGTATACTCGAGATTATAGCCTATGTTATAGTAGGTATCCACCCGTGCTGGAAGGGTACACTGATGCCAATTGGATTATGGATAATAAGGATTCAAAATCCATAAGTGGATATATCTTTACGAGCTCAGAGCAATATGTACAATGGTAAGTCTAGGCACATTCACCATAGACACAAAACTATTAGGCAACTTCTCAATACGGGTATCATCTCAATTGACTATGTTAGGTCAAAGGATAATTTAGCAGATCCAGTAACCAAAGGATTAACAAATGAGCAACATGTGAAGTTAGTGGTTGGAATGGGTTTGAAATCCCTACCCTGTGCTGGGAACGTTCCATGAAGGAAAACCCAACATAGGTGGTACCTAGGTTCAATGAGAAAATCTACTTGTGGGACGAAGCATGGTCACTGTGGGGCGAGCCGGATTACCGACTTAACACCCCTCCGTTCCTACCGAGATATAGTGTCTCCTGAAAACGTTGAGGTTAGCACGATTCTTTAATGATTCTTGAACTATGGACAACGAGGTCTAAGTGGAATAATCGGGATACTCTTAGAAGAATCACCTGTGTAAGAGTGTAGTGCAGTCGCTTCAATAGAAGGATTTCGGGCTGATCCTATCTTAAACTCTCGCAAAACCAGATGCATGTTCCACGACCATAATGGGCACACCCATGACAACAGAATAATGGTTGGATAAAACCTGTGTATGGTATATCATCGTTTACATAAACAACAGTGCAGTTCAAAGACATCACATTCTACTAAAGAAGGTATAATTTACAACGAATAGGTTCAAAGGCACAAAACCTACATACTTTTACAATTTTTCAACCATAGAGTTATTTGTCAAGCACATGAATTAATTTTCATTCATGTGGGGGATTGTTGGATTTTTTACTCATAAATGGGACAACTTTGGACATAAATTTGGTAGGGTCCACAAAATTATTTTTCCAAAATAATTATGGACGAGTATTCTTCTAAGTGAGACGATTAATTCCATATATTGCGCGCTAAAATTGGTGCTCGGGCAAATGA